AACAAAAAAAACACCTTTTGTGGGGTCCTTATTCCTTTAACAATGTTGATTAAAAAGTATTCAGTCTGTTTTCGAAGAAGCGGTATCCACCCACGACAATCTGAGCTCTACCCTATAAATTTGCGGTCTTCCTTACTCGAACACATTTTACGTGTGTCCTAATTCATTCAACAGAAAGTTATTTTTATTAGCATTAGGGGGCTCGAGGTTGATCCTGCTCCCTGTTTCGCATTAATTCTATTTCCACCTGATCACGCGCCAACGTCCACATGCTACTGGTGAACCTGAATTTACTGTCTTGAAGAGTATATATTGCCTGCTGAAAACCAACTAATAAGAACACAATGTGTACACCTTTGTGTTGGGCTCTTTATACAGTTTTGGCGTATTTACTCTCCTTCATGAAGAAGAAGAAGAAGAAATGTTTCTTCTGTCAAAAAATTCAGTGAAACATAAACGCCACATTAAGATGTTAGCTTAGCCTGAATTTCAGTCCCAACTAGCACCTGGTTGGCCCCTCAACAAGCAATCTTCCAAGCCAGGCCTTTTGTATGCTGCGCTAATTTAATGGGGTGAATCCCCATGTTGGTTTGATTTGCCTTTCCTTTACACACTCACTAATAGTAGCCGATGGACTTACGGTTGATGAGAGGTGGCACGGCGGTTGACATGAAGTACTGCCCCCTAAGCGCTCAAAAGATGTAAAACATTACTTATACAGTACAACCTAGAATTCGTGTAACATGCCGACATATGCGAAAGATTGATACTCCTTCACTAATTGGCATTGAGTAGGGTTGTAATACTAATTATCGTGTAGTCTATTCTGAAGTAGTTTCAGTCACAATAGGATGCCGGCAATTTAACGAAATACTTCCTGCCTCCTTGGAAGATGAATATTATGTAGAAAATGACTAATTAAGTAGTATGTATTTTTATCATTGATTTTATTTACCTTTATAAATTAAAATATATTTTACGGAAATCATACACGAAAAATTCTTTCCTGTACTTGTTTGGTAGCATATGATGCCTTTCTTAAATTTTATACTTAAAGAAGGAGCATAATTCGGTTTTAGAAGAATGTCTAATTATGAGCTTTTTTACGATTGTGAGGTTTTCATTCATTATGCATCACACCCGTCAATTTACTAATGCTGCCTATAATGTATACAGAACGTCCCACATCTGTCGTAATATCTTATAGAAACCGCGTGACTTCTTCCTCGAACCATTGC